AGTGTAAGAACACATGTGACCTTGATCTTGAAGCCCCTATAAAGTCAAACCAGTGTAGCAGACCACAGGCTTCACTTCAAGAAATGTAACCTCAAGAACAAGTCCTCCAATAAAACAGGAGGGGCCTTAGCACAGCCAACACTCGCTTCATTCTCACTGCAGTAGCCAGCCTTCAAAAGCCCACATTCAGTTCATTGCTTTGTCTTAAGTTTTCTAAGCTACCTGAAGCCCTCTGCTTCAGATCATGTATCACAGGTCACGGTACCGGCAACACTGGAGGTAAGGCTCAGCAGTATGAACTGCTGCTACCCCTGGCTGATTAAAACCCTCAAAAAGTACAATATAGGAGCTACAGCATGTTTCTCCATATGCAAGTCTATTCATTTGACGCTAAATAGAAGCCACAAACAAAGAAAACAGTGAGTGTTTTTGTGGAAATGTTGCACTGTGTTATTTCTACTTGTTACTGACTGATGATACAACTAAATACAACCTACAGCACAGAAAAACAAAGGTATTAGAATCTTTAATTATCTAGATACTTCTAACCTGAAAACTGAAAACCAAAGTTAGCCTCCGCAGGTAAGAAAGTAAAAATCATGTTGGGAGGGGGAGGTGTGAGGACAAGGCAGCATCACCTTTTCATCTGCAGCATTTCAGAGGGAATCTAATGAAAACTCTGCATAGTTATTAAGGAAGAAAAAGTTATAACCTTCTAGAACTTATTTTGATGTATAATTATATAAGTGTCTTGAAGTTTCTATTGGCACAATTACCACAGCACTTAATCTATTATCTCAGCTTTTTAAGTAAGGTACTAAAATATATCAGGTTGAAATAATATCTGTTTCAAAGTACCTTATCAAAAAAATGTCTCACAAGATCTATAGTGAATTACAAGATGTATACTACATTTTTAACTGTTGCTTTCCATGAAAGGAATATAAATTTCCTTTAAAGAGGGAGAAGAGCTACTCAATGAATAGCAGTGAACATAAAAACAATGAAGTGCAAAGGATTGAACTTAACATGTGTCTTGGAAATATGATTTATAGTCAAGAATAATACACTCATTTCTTAGGAAGAAAATACACCACATGCATTACACCTTTTTTGTAAACCTTAACTGTAAGAAAGCAAAACTATGCTCAGAAAAAAAGCATGAAGTACCCTAAAGCGAAAGTAATTCTCAGAAAACTACCTCCACAAAGTCAAGCTGGGGTACTGCATCATTTCACACAAGTGCTTAAGCCAAAAGTCCTTACGGCAGAAATTTGGTGTTCCCTAAACAAGAGTTTAATCAGGGGCGGGGGCCATGGGAATAGGGGTTGTACATGTAGATAACAAAGTACCTTCTTAAAATTAAAGATCTGAGTTTTGAGAAACAAATTCCATACCTATGAGAATTTAAGTGCACTAGTAATAAGGAAATAGTTATCTGAAAAGTAAATGCCTGACTAAAAGTCCAGAACACAGCCTCAACATATCAAACGCTGGTGTTGAAGCATCTTTTGCTGAAGACTCAGCAACGTACCCTGTCCTGCAATTTTCCTCCATTAGCTCACACATCATCAACTAAGCTTCACCTACAGATTTCTAACAGAGAGCTGGGTTGAACCTTCCCACCCCCTCCAAAAAATCTAGTGCTGCAGCAGGCCAAACTAAGTGTTTCAGACTTTCCTGACAGGAAAATCTTGCAAAAAAAAAAAAAATTACACTTTGTAAAGAGAACCAAAGGAAGACAACACTGCAAGAGAAACTTTCTAAGATGAAAAACACCTGTGGATGCATATATGGTAGACAATCCTCCCAGATTTGTAACAAGAATTACTTGAAGCTAAAAAAACCTCATGTTTTCTGTCGTTTCTAGAAATAATCCAATTCAAACTGCACTAAAAAAAGTGTTCTTGCACTAAAAGAACAGCTTTGGGTATGTTGTTCTTTTTTAAATCAAAAAATTAATCTTTGGAGGAATTCTGTTGCAGCAAATAGTCAAAATGTACTATTATCTCAGGCATTAGCAGCAAGAGACAAAATGGCACCATAACAAAAGCATATCTAAGCATGTCTGACGAAATGGTTGTTGCTAACAAGTTAGAAATACTTCTTTATCAAACTGATTCTTAAATATCATGCATACCTATTTCAAGTTCAAATTAAGGATATTTTCTTAGCACCCTCAAAAATGTGTTTTACATTAGATTTGCTCAGTTTAAAAAGGGAAACATTAGCTTAAATGCCTCCTGCCCAAATGTCCAACAATTTGTTTGCTCAAATATCACCCTCCTGTACATATGCTCAATTCTCTTAACAGCAAACACCTCAAGACCACAAGGCAAATAAATATCTTTCAGGTGACCTGTTCCTAGAGCTCCTGCAAAATGATAAAGAAGAAATTATTTTTTGGGTGTATTCATTCAATTCTTATCACAGGAGATTAGTTTGCCCACACACCGTTGTTGCTCCCCGTTTCCTCCCCCCAGAAGAAGGGCGGCTGGGGTAGTGAGGCCACTCAGCCAGTGCAACAGTCCCTGCATTAACACAAGATCAAGTATGACCAGAGTCTGATAATAAATGCCTTCTGTGAGCCCAGAAACTTGGAATCTCAACAGGACTGTTCCTATTCCAGAATATTGGATGAGGAGGAGGGAAAAAAAAATACACTAAGTAAGAAAAAAGGAGAATACAACATTATCCTGACCAAAGAGAACAACTAAGTATCATTCTGGGTGATGGAGGCACTGAAGTGCCAAGTCCTTATACCTTCCTTCCCTATCTCTGGGCCTGTATTTCTGCAAAGATGTAAAGCCAGTTATGATACTGATGTAACATATAAGTCTTGGGGAGAGGGAGGTGCCTTGTTTGGTTTGGTTTTTAGCATCCTCAGCTTTAAGGTTCTGGCATGTAATAAGAGATTTCTCTGATGGAATATCCATGTCTAAAAGGAAAAAGAATCTTTTGAAAATCTGTCAGGATGCTTGCATAGGGAAACATAGCTCCAGGGAAAACAAACAAGGAGTATTTATAAAACATTATTGTTTTTCACATTGGCAAGACAGAAGACAACTTTATATAGAGCCTAAAAAGGTACCCAGCACTCAGCTGGCAACCTCAAGAGCTGTTTTTGTTAGTGTTTTCCTCATCCCTATCCTCTACCACATAGGTCAAAGGGCTGAAGAGGCCCTAGGTAAACAGAATGCAGAATGAACATGAGCTCTGTGCCTTTCCTAAATGGTTCCATCTAATTAACTGCATTTCACTAAGAAGAACACAGAGAACCTCTCTGTGACCCATACAGTAGAGGCTAGGGAAGATGACAACCAATACAAAATGTCTCTTGAGCTTGGCTTATAGGGTTCAGCACAGACAAGCTCCCCTGACCTGGCTGCAAATTCCCTCTCCCTGCTAGAGGCGTGCATCAGCATCACTGGGACAGGTTCACTTTCCACTCCGGCTAGAGTTTGCTCTTCCTTCTGTGCCCTCAGCATGGGGACAGAAGATTGGCAAGCCAAGGCATCCAGGTGACAAAAGCTCCACAAGCACTGCCTTTTGCACCTCACTTAATGCCAGGATTATTGCCTACTTGCTAAGGGAAAAAGAAAGACTGCTAACAAGAGTCACTTTATTGGAATGCCGTTTCTCCCAAGCAGAAACGGTTGAACTTTGCACACAAGATCACAGGCTTACAGCTTCAGCATGGCAGTCATCATGTGGCGAGATGAATCCATCTTGGAAACTAAGAAACTTATTTCACTCCTTGCTTGCCCATCAGCTACACAGAAACAATTCAGCCATTTTCTACAAGAAAAACTGAAGCACAGGCTCCAACTAAAAAATTAGATTACTCCAATCCTTTGAAGAGCTCCAGAAGAGAAGTAATCTTTAAAACAACTTTTAGGCTTTAACAGAATATAGTTCCGATTCAAGCATCATATTAATGCAGGGCAATTAAGATCCCCTTGTGTCTTGCTTTATTTTTTTTTTTTTTATATAGCAAATTCTATAATTCCACAACAGAAGCAACAAACAGCCAAGAAACCTTACCAAGTTGCAAAAAATTCTTAAAATGATCTGTTTTAAAAGCAGAATCTAAGATTCCTTTGTAACAAGATAAAATATTAATAATAATATCTAACCTCATTACAAGCAAGAAAAAGCAGTTTGTACTTTAAGTAATCTCGCTCATACTGAATTATCAAAATTAGACAGAATCGAGCATCCAACCACAACTACTTTGACTATATGGCCTCTTTAGTTACTCTTGAAGTTAAATTGTCCCTCTTTAAGCGCTAACAGAGAGGCATTTCTACCAGTATCATTAAATACACACACACAGATATATATTACCAAGATGAGCATTGTAAGGCTTTCGAGTTTACTTTATGAATTTTATACCATTCTGTGTAAAGACAATTATAGTGGCTTACAGTGTCAATAACAAAACATTACTAGGACCAGCAAGGAAATGCCAAGACAGATAGAAACCACTGATACTACTTCTAGCTCATTTGGAAAAGCAAAAATATCACCCACGTATCAGGCTAAGCAGTGCCTCTTAAACTTAAAAAGCTCTGCTCTCCAGGCTTTCAAAGAGTGCTTAACACATACAAATAAATCCACAGAGGGGCAATCTATATGTCTGACTACATACATGTATAATACATACACATATACACACACAGCCATTTGCATAAAAAGCTTTAAAGTCTGTATGAATTATAGACTGGAAACTTCTGTGACTGGAAACTTCTGTAACTTCCCGTTGGACAGACTTATTATAAAATAAGTGTGTCCATATAGTACAGTATTTACCTCTACAACTTTCCTTACATAGACAAGATTTTAGTTGCATATGGAGGGCGGCATTGCAAGTAACCCATTGATACCTCAGGTCCAATAAAAACACTCTCTGATCACATACGAGCTTTTGCTCACCGTGGGCACATATGGTTGGTCTGGGGTTTTTTTTACCTAAAGTTTCACAGAACTGTAACCATTACCTTCATCAAAGTCTGCATCGTCTTCTGTATGCTGAGGGAAAGGGAAGCAATTTGTGATTTCCAGCCTGTCATCCACCACAAGACCCAGCAGCACTCCCTGGACCACTTCGTTCCCCTGTCCTTCTTCCTGGTAATGTTTAATGATCTTTAACACAACCTACAACACAAAGACAGGAAAACCATATTATGCAATGGGGTTTTTTGTCCTCAAACTATAGATCTGGAATTTTTAAGTTGTTGAACTGTTGCGTAAATTAAAGCTGCAAACCAAGTAAATTACTGCTTAAACATCAGCAATTTTAACACAGGCTGAAGAACTGGAGACCATCCTAATATTACAGGAGAATAAAAAAAGACCATTAAATGAATAGTCAAAATGCAGTTTTAAACCAATTTTCTGAAACACCCATCTAAAATGAAATATTGATCTTTCTTACTTTATCTTGTTGCTGTAACTGTTAAAAGCTATCTTGCAGGGGCAATAAGCTCCCTCCTGAGGGAAATATTGCACAAGAAACTATCAAAACACCTTGAAAGTAACCGCAGAAACTGGTAGAAAAATTTTAAAAGGCATAAAATACATCAAATTTCAGTTGCATTAACCTTCAAAATTACATTGCATTGCAGTTTTACTTCCGATGATAATGTAATTTATATTTTTGTAAACTGTGTGTCATAGGATATTTAAAAATAATGAATGATAAAAGAAAGTAAAAAATAACTTTGAATTACTCATCATATTTTTAATAATGTAATTCTCACTTCCTTCCATAAATCTGTACTCTACAATGAATAATTCTCATGAGATTATACTGTAAATTGGAACAGTATGAACAAAAACACTCAAAAATAGTCAATCATTTGCTAGAAACACTTTATACTTAAGTAAAATTTTATGCTTAACAGGAACCAGAACAAGATAAGACACTAACCACGAACACAGAATTGAAAGAACTTATGCTTGCTCCAGCATAAGTGGGTTTTATTTCACTAAACTCTAATCCATCCAAGCAAAATACAACAGAAAATGTCTGATTACTATGTTGTCATTAAAGCAATACTACTTTAATGTCTGTTGGCAAACAGGCTAGTCTAATGGATTTCAGCTCAACCACGCCGAGAACAGATTTCGTACAAATACTGGTATATAGTGAACATTCTACATGGGATGGGGGGAGGGTTAAGCTCATATTCACACATCAGGGACCTAGCTTTCTCTGTGGTTGCTTAGCAGAACTTTATGTCACATTTTTAAAAACACTATTAATGAATTAAAACACCACAATATAGGTTAAATGGAAGAAAAAGGTGACTAGAAAATAAGTTTTTTACAAATACATTGCTTTCTTAAGGTAAAATGGGAAAACAAGAGCTTCATATACAGCCTGCTTGGAGGGCTGCAGGGAGATTGGAGGAAAAACACCTTTTTCCAACTAAGCTGGACGTAAGTATCAAACAGGACTAACCGCACTGATTCCTTGTTTATTCACAATATCACTCATTTATGCTTTCTCTTGCATCTACATACACTTGTACTGAAGCTTCTCAATCACGGGCAGATAACATTGTTTCACCCCAATACACATTCACATCTGTCCCTTGAGTCCTTTGAAGCCATATCTTTACATCCAATTTGTTAAAACAAGCCTACAGAGCAGAGAGACAAAGAGATACTTCGGTTATATAAATCCCATTTCACAGGAAAACAGTAAGGAAATTAAGATCAGTGGGCAGTGAAGTAGAACTTAAGAGCACTGAAAGTAGTACAGCAAATGCCAGTTTGAGATCACCTGGATGTAGAAGATGGGTGCTGTCTACCATAGAGCCAACATATAAATAATATTCAACTTGCATTTAGTGTGAAGTTAAGGTTTATCATACATTTGCCATATGCTCCATCTTCCACAGTCAAGGAATCCATAACTAACCCGAGAGATTACAGCACAGCATGCTCTCTGTCTACAATTTAACTATTCTCAACATCTTCACAATCTTGTAACCCTCACCTTTTCCAGTATTTTTCTCCTCATTTGTTCTTGAGTTTTCTATGCACAATGACTGTCCCTGTTACTGTGAATCCCATTTGCCTGTTTGATTCCATTCCAGGAGCATTTGTGATACGATGCCAATTCTATCGCAGCATTTCTGATGATAATTGCTCACAGAAAGCAGCAGCAAATGAAAAGAGCATGGGCTGTCATAGAGTATCAACGATTTTTCAGGGAGATAAAACTAGGAGTTCAAAAATCTTAAATGCTAACCAAATACCCCAATACACAATGAAGTTATTACACAAGTCTGCAGTTTTGAATCTCCAGCCTGAAGACCACAGCAAATATTATCCAGGGAGATAGAGAGTCCTTGAGTTTTATGCCTACCTGCAAGTTTGTTTTCTGAGAAAGGTAGCAGAGAAGGTCATGAATTCACTGTTCTAAATTTCACACCCATTAGCAAGCTGCAGAAGATCAGGTTTATGACTTCACTGGAAAATACATTAGCTACCAAAATCATTTCTAAAAAGATAAATTAACAAGTCTGAGAAATGCACCCAATGACATATGATTCTTATTTTCATTTTGTTCTTTGCTCTGGAAGGTCTTACTTCAGCGCATAAGACAAGTCTTTGGTATAGCAGGATCTTAAACTTGGTTTGAAAATCCTGCCATCAAAATACCACCATATGACCAAAAGGCAAACATGCACTGGAACTTGTGTTTCAGTACTAAAAACAGACCTTCAAGTGTAAAGTAGAACTATTTCTCTAGTGATAACAAGACCAGTTTTAAACACTAAAAATGTCATTTCCATTTGTTTGCTAGTTTAGATGCAGCAAGAAGAGCTGATCACAGAATCACAGAACGGTGGGGGTCAGAAGGGACCTCAGGAGATCATCTAGTCCAACCCCCCTGCCAAAGCAGGTTGACCAGTTGCACAGGAAAGCGTCCAGGTGGGTTTTGAACATCTCCAGAGATGGAGACTCCACAACCTCTCTGGGCAGCCTGTTCCAGTGCTCCATTGCCCTCAGTGTAAACAAGTTTTTCCTCATGTTCAAGCAGAACCTCCTGTGTTCCAGCTTGTGCCCATTGCCCCTTGTCCTGTCACTGGGCACCACTGAAAAGAGCCCGGCCCCATCCATTTGGCCCCTGCACTTCAGGTTTTTATAGACATTGATAAGATCCCCTCTCAGTCTTCTCTTCTCCAGGCTGAAGAGTCCCAGCTCTCTCAGCCTTTCCACACACAGGAGATGCTCCAGGTCCCTTAAATCATCTTTGTAGCCTCTGCTGGACTCGCTCCAGAAGTTCCCTGTCTCTCAATCCACAATGCCATGACATTTCCTGATTTTACTGTACAAACCAATACTTCATATTAAATAGACCACCCCCGCAACCCCCCAAAAGAAAAGAACAGTAACTTGTATCTAGACATTTCCAGAGATGATAAGTTTAGGAAGCATCAGAACAGAATCAGACTAGTTTTACTGGTCTGAAAATGAGTGTAAGAAGTGTTAATATAAATAATGCAAGTAACACAACACAATGAGAAATCCTAATATTTTTTTTTTCAAATGACATAGAAAAAAACATCCCAAAGAAATCTAAACAAACACCAGTATAACCCATCTTTCATCCAATGCTAATTCACTTTCCAAGCACTATTTACAATTCCTATCCACCTATTCAGCTAAGAGATATCGCCTCTTTGTACAAACTATAATTGTTTCTAAATACCATTAAACCCTTCACTGCTATACCATTGCTACATGAAATTAACAGTAACTAAACCATATTTCAACTGTTACTGTTACTTAAGTAATGCAGCTGGTCAACCAGGAAAGGCTATGTACTCAAATAGAAACTGTATTAAGTCATTTGACTTACTGTTTTAATAATAATAATTAAAAAATCAGTTTTCTAAATTCTATTACCTCTGAACACACAAGTCAATAATCATATGCATTATTATGCAATAATCCATTGGTTGCTGGATATTAGTAAATACAATTAGTATTTAAGAAATAGTCAGGTACACAAAGATTCTTTAGAAAAGGATATAGAAATATCTCATAAATAAAACTCAAGAGTCCCCCAGCCTTGTAAATTTAGTGTTCAGAATATCAAAGCAATCTAATCACTTGGAGTAGCCACTTGTCAGATTTTAATGGCTATTAATCCTCAATTAACAACAAAAAAAAAAGCCTGCAGTTCAGCAGCGCTTGTAATCTTCAGATCTTCAAAGCACTGCTCAAACATTAAGAGTGAAGTCATACTACAAAAAGAACCATTCTGAAACTATTAAAAACTTCAAAGATACATATTTTAGCTGTAGGAGTATAATGTCAAATTTTAACTTTGGCTACATCCCGACATCACAGTTGTTAATTTCAAAAGTTTGTATCTCATTACAGAAATAGTTATAACATGAACCATCAGCTGAAGTACTGTAAGCCTTGGGGGGGTCCTGGGAAGATCCCGCTGTAAGGACATCAACATGCCAAGATGCACATTTCTGTATTTCTCTAAAGAGAGGCAACAGTAAATCAGAGCACTCCAGATCCAGCCATGAACGTGTTCCAGAGAGCTGAAAGTCACCACACTGAAACCAGATTTCTCGTACCTGTGCTGTGTCTTGCAGATGCAATATCAAACAAGAGTGAGCTTCTGTTAGCCCACTGGATACACGATGTAGCAAGACGATTTACAGCCTTAAATCAAATATTTAAATCTTTTTGAATGCTGAACATATTTTTCCCACTCAAGAAAGCTTTGTCGGCACAACCACTAACACCAATTACCAGCATCTGGGGAGAGGATGGGGAGAGAGTGTAAATAACACTGTGTTATGTAGCTGTTTTCAAACCAACCATAACTGACATTGGGCATCAAAAGTGGAAGGTGCCACAACGCCCACATCCTCTCCATATTTAACACCACTGGCACCATGAACAAAACTCAGCTCAGCAAAACAGTCTTGAAAGCCATTACCGCTAATAGTGTCTGATATATTTTTAATACATCTGTATCACATATGGAGCCTTTTCTATAGGAATTCTATATGAATTCTTAAAACTTAAACCATGAACTTTTACATTTAAGTGTTATGGCATGAGCAAGTTTACTTGTTAAATGTAAAGGGAACTCTGTTAATGTAGTTTTATAAATTGATAGATCTCAACTATCATTACTAAAAACAACATGCAACTGAGTTTGATTTATGCTAAACTCAAGGATGTCTACAATCAAGACATCTACCTGATGTATAAAATGCATACATATCACCTCTGCAAAAAAAGAAAGCTGTTTAATAATATCCAAATGAAGACACGAAATTTTACACATCAAATTTTAGACTAATTTAATAGTCCTGCCTGCTTCCCCAGCTCACATTACACCAAAAGCAAATCTACAACCTGCGTCATGCTGAAACTTAACCAATTAGCTACATAAAAATTATATTTAATTAAACAGTCCTGAAATCCTCAGGTAAGCATGGAATGGCTTTTTTTTTAAAACAAAGATTTGGGAAAAAAAAAGATAAAACTAGAGCAAGATATAAAATATCTTTATAAATAGGCAATGTAAACATTTTTAATATTTCCAGGTGTCTTTGTGTTTTTTGAGTGTTTTTTTGTTTTGGGCTTTGTTTTGTTTTGTTTGTTTGTGGGGTATGTTTGTTGTTAGAGGGTTGAGGGGTTTTGGGGGGGATATTTTGGCGGGGTTTTTTTGTTTGGTTTGTGGGGGTGGTGCTGTTTAGTGGGGTTTGCAGGAGGAGATTTAATCCCCCTCCCCTCACCATACACTACAAAAAAATGCTTATCCTACACTTACAAAAGACAAGTTCTGGAAGCTGACCAAGCAAAAACTTGCCTTGAGCTGATCTGTCTGCTGGCTATAGCACCACTTGATAAGACACTAACAAAGTCTCCCAACTTTCCTGCCACAAGAAAAGGAATTCTGAAGTAAATTAAAGATATCACTGCAACGGCTGAGTAAGAAAATGTATGTCTAATACACATAACACTCACCTCCACATGATTAAGGAGACAGATGTTTACAGACACACATAAAAAATTCCAACATAATCAGTGCAGTCCAGAGAAATATGATCTAGAAAGCACTGTCTGACAGATAGTGCCTCAAAAACACAGTATCAACAGGTTAATACCCTAGTCTTTTGGGTGCTGGATATGAAACTTCATGAAACAAGACTGCCACCACAAAGAGTCATGGCATGAAGCGAACAGAAGATTAGAGGTGAAACTGAATTTTCCACATTATACTAAACTTGAGAAATATGACAATCTCTGCTGACAATCAAACCCTAAATTCACTTAAATACATATGTTAGCTCATTTGAAGAGATTTTTGAATTTTTCTAGATTCTCTTATTCAACAGTGCTGATTTTTTGACCACTCCTGACATGACCGATATAAAAATATTTATTCTTTTCTTCCTTATGCTTAACTTTGGAATAAAACCTCCTAAAACCACTAGACCAATTTTA